AGCTTGTCTAAGTTGTAGTTAGGCCTGCTGTTTGCATATTGTGACCTTTTGGACCTCTCCATGGTGTTTGTCTCTTTACCGTTTGATTTTTTGTGACTTGAAAAGAATAAACTTTATTTATGAATATCTTTAAATATAATATATAAAAATATATCAAAATTCATTTCTATATAGCCACAAACTTTCTTTAAAAATAAAAAAAAATTAATATCTAAAACTTGTAAACTTAGTGATTTTAAGTATGATAAATTATTGATTTATGAAAAAGTAGTCATAGTAAATACTATATTAAAGATATTCTTAATTAGTTAAAAACAATTATTTATAACATTATTAAAAGTTATAAAACAAATTAACAAACTACTGTCATTTATAGGTCTAGTAGACCATCTAAATTGATAGATAAAAATATTAAATATTTTATAAAAACTGTAAAAGAAGATCTACAATAATCTTTTAATAAAATATTCAATTATTAACAATCCTAATAAACTCTTATACTATTCAATATATTTTATATGATGAAAAATTTTATGGTTGAGTTAAAAAAAAAATCCTTGGTATTTGAAGAAAATTATAAAATAAGATTAATAGTATTATATTAGAAATAAAATCGATATTATCTTGTATCATTCCTCTTATAATTGGGAGGGGTAGATTCACTGCTTCGGAATCGCTAAATTCAGACTCTGTCTCAGAATCGCTAGATTCAGACTCCGTCTCAGAATAATCTGAATCGTAATATTCGCTTAGACCATCGAACTCACGTTTATGTTTGGAAAACTCGATTAATATAACTTCCCCATCTGAATTAATTGCAGTAAATTTCGGAAATAATAATTCGTAGAATGTATATAATGAAGGAGACACTATATCAATGTTATTTCTTGCGTAATATATCCTTTTTTCCTCATTAGATTCCCAATATCTCCCATCATGCCCATCAATCCTGTTACCCAATCTCGTTAGCCATGTACTCCCCAAAACTAAGTCATATTCGGGTTTGTCAATGACTAAGAAATGCTCATATGATTTATTCAAATATGAGGGGGGTTCCAACTCAAAGATATTGGGTAAAGAAACAGAAACCTCTTCATCATGAAGCCATCCTCTTACCATCACTTTTTTACCAGAATTTGTTGCGCCAACACCAAGTTTTTCCACTGCAGGATATCGTGATCCCCAATCTCTAGAAATATATAAGTCCATTTTTTTGGCAAGTGCGTTACTGATACTGTTATACTGGGATTTGGGATCAATAAGTGCTTTAACAGTTGTTTTACTATCAATGAATGTACAGTCCACTATTAATCTTTTGCGAATTTCTCTAATCACTTCGGTTTTCCATAGATTATCTAGACTACAGCAGTTTTTAAGATCTTGAATTGGAAGATACTTCGTAATAAATGGTATTAATTCTGGTGGAATAAGATCAAGTAAATTAAGCATGGCAGAGTATTATATTCAATAATGTATTTTTTATCGCTTATTAATAAAAGATAATTCAAAATATATGATGACTGAAGTTAATAACAAGTCTGTTATAAATGAAGCAATAGTTAAAGATAATATCAGCGGAGCTGGGACGACCAATAGTTATCCGTCTCAAGAATTATGTGAAAGTATTGTTAGTCAAGTATTGGATAAAAAAATTCAGATTTCTCTTAGCCAATTACTGGAAATAGTAAAACCCGAGATTCAACAAGACATTATAAATTCTATAGGAAATCCATATATTTCTCGACATACATGCATTCCATGTGAAGCTAAAAGACGATACAAGAAGCTTATTTCCAAAATTACCACATTTAAGTCTTCATCTGAGTCTGGGTCTGGCTCTGAATCGTCTAGTGATGAAGAGGGTGGAATTAGAGCGTATGTGGCAAAAGCAAAGAAGTGTGATCAATAATTATATAGGTCAATGATATCCTCGATTTCGACATATTCTTGTTTAATCATAGGGGTGATTGGCCTAGGTGCTGGAATATTTGGTCTGTCATTTATTACACCATAATGCCGTGCTGTGGCTCTATATCCTTTTTTATGACGCGTTGCTAAATCTCGATATCTTTGACGACAAGAATCATTTCTACCACCATGGACTCTTGATGCATGATCAGCACCTATTTTTCTTAAATGATATGAGGTAATACCATGAGGAGCTAGAAATCGATTAAGTGGGTAAACTTTTACATAACCATTTTCACCTTTTAACAGAAATGGGAAAGTCTTTGGAATTGCCTCTGGATCCAGGTGAGTAGTTCTATTGCTCTTTTTGGATCCTTTTCCATTGAAAAGAATGGTAAAGGTTCATCAATTTGACTTTTGGCGTAGCCAGTGCAATACCAAGAATATTTAGGATCATACCATTTTTCGTAACTTGGTGGATAGTGATCAATACGAAGAGTTGCAACATCTGCTGGTCTCATAGATAACATTACCATTACATCGATCAAATTCTGCATGGAAGGAGGTTTGGTAATATCACAATTACTAAGTCTATCCTGAACATTCTCTGAGTAAAAGAATTTAGGGCAATCCATACCTTTGTCTTCATTGAGTTCGTGACGCTCATTCTGTTTTTTCTGTGATTCTTTGGTAATCTGAGGTATGCTTGTTGATTCTAGTGTAGGACTATCAGCACCCAGAATTTCTAATTCTTTTCGAAGATATGTAAGGCGTGAGGCACCAGCAACAACATTTGGAGCAGTATTAACCAAATCATTTGCTATCTCATTTATCTTTTCGGGTGAGATATCATTTTTCATAATATTTTCTGCTATAACTTTAATGGGGTCTCTTCCAACTACACGTCGCCCGGGTGCCTGTTTAGGGATAAGAGTGTATACCTGCTCTTCACTAAGACCCAATTCCCGAAAGCGTCTTCTAGCTTGATCTCTGGCTCTTCCCGCCTGCTCTTTTGTCTTACCATCTGAGAGTTTACCGGCTAACTCTTCAACGTAATTACTAAGCTGGGATAAGCTAGTTTGGGGTGACAATTTGTAGCGATTGAAAAATTCTGTAGCAACTTTTGCCATGGTAATATAAGATGATTGTTATACTATAAATATCTTGGGTTTATACTATAAATGTCTCAGGTATATACTATGGAGATTCTTTTTTCAAATCGAAATTAATTATCCACGGGTCAGTATATCTATATCCAAAAATTGAATGGGTCGTGGTTAGAGTAATTCTATCGGAAAATGGACACAATTAAGACATGGGATAGATCGAAGGTTTTAGAATCCATAACTCTACGTAATAAAATTAATGAGAATATCAATGGAATCAAGGATGATATAGCATTACTTAAAGAGGTCATCCAAAAAATAATCGATATATGCCAGGCGCGTGATATGGGTGGTATACTTAACTCAGCTAGATGACCGAAATTTGCGGGACGGGCCGTCTCGGAAAATATTTATAGTTCGTGCCTAGAATCGGGTATATGACTCTCAAGCATAACAATTTTTTCCAGTAATTCGGCTTGCTTTTTTCTGTGATAATTCTCTCTACTTTGATACTTGCCTACATGTTTATCACATGCATTATAAATAGATCTATTTAGCTTACCACAATCTCTACAAGGAGTACGTACTGGAGATTTACAATGAATATAGCATCCTTTAGGATTATAACATCCTCGACCACAGATTTTTCCAGTTCTAAGAATATATGGACAATGGTAAAATGCCATCGTGATTGTATATAATAATTACTTCAATCAAATTTATATTATTTGGGCGAATTGGTTCGCTGAAATTTCTGGAATAATTAATTTTATTTTAAAGATTTATCTACAAATTATTATAGTTACAAAATAATACTACATATATTATTAGATATACTTTTTGTCAAATCAAACAAAGCATATATACAAATCAATAAAATGAGTCTGTCTAGTGAAGCTAAAAAGCGTCTATGTGAATCATTAGAACAACAGCGTCTAAATCAAAAATTGACCGAATATAATGAGGCAAAAATAATTCTCAAAGGTTTAACGGATCTTGACTATAAACCTGGCCATGGAGGGCATACATATTATAAATACTGGCTTAAATCCAATGGCCATACCAACTCTGCTGATAGAAACGAAACAGCACTTTTAGAGGCATACCAACCTGAAGAGATCCATTCTCAATATATAATTAGGGTTGCAGAAAAAGGTTTTACGGTGATTGATCACCCTACCGAAGTTTATGGAATACCTAATACTCATGAATGTATTGATGGAAATCAACCTCTTCGTTTAATAATTGATATTGATGCAAGGCAAAAGCCTGATCCATCTAATCCTGAACTTCCTTCTCTGGATAGTAAGAAAATTACTCGTGGAGATTTGATGTCTCGAATTTTAGTTGCTTGTGCGGATGCATTAAGCCTAATACCAGATTGTATGCCTTTCTTAAATTCTTTTGCATTAGCAAGTTCATCGAATGCTAATAAATGCAGTTGGCATATTATTTATCCTCGTGCTCGATTCATAGATTATAGAGAACTTAAGGGTTTTACAGAAAAAGTTATGGAATTAGTTGGAAAACCTTATTCGGAGTTCATTGATATTGGCCTTCCCAAAAAACATTTCAATCTTCGGCTTCTTGGATCGGCAAAAGAGGAACGTATAAAAAGACCAGCAATTTCTTCCATTAAGAATGGATTTCACAAGTTAGAAGATTATTTAGTCCAGCCTAAAGAGAATTATTCCGTGATCTGGCCACGAACCTTTTCTGATGAGAAGCCAGTAGAAGAGGAATCCCGACCTATCAATGATGAAAATGCCTTGGTTAAGGGAGCTAATTTAGTTATTGCAAAATATAGGTGGCTCCAGATTGGAAGAACCGATAATGGTTTTATTAACTTTGAAGCACAATCGGTTAAAGAATGCCCTATATGTGAAGTTAAACATGAAAAAGATCAACTTTATGGATTTATTCGACAAAATGGGTATTTTATGCTCAAGTGCTATCGCCAAAAACAATATAAGCCAGATCATAAGGGACTGAGCTTCGATAAGGTATCAGATAAAATCGAATCGAAAGAAAAATCCAAGAAGTGGGGATTGATTGAAAGATTACCCAAAGCTATATTAAATCCACGCCCACTTGTAGAATTATCTGGAAAAATCATCAATGTAAAGGAAATGAAAGATGCACCAGAAGCTTACCCTGATTTCTTAAGCGAGGAACCCACTACAACTCTTATTCGCTCACCTGTTGCTAGTGGCAAAACAAAAACATTAAGAGAAATTCTCAATTCTTTAGCTAAAAGTGGAGCAAATTTGCCTTGTTTTAACTGGGTTTCATATCGTAAAACTCTTAGCAATGAGACTAAAGCTAAAGTTGAAATATTGCAA